TTGTGTATACAAATGGGTAGCATTTAGAAATGAATAAAAATTAATTCTACTTTAAAAATCTTAGATTATTTCTTGCAAACAGCATTGCAGTTACTTGGGCTCCATGTTAACATGCATGTCTTTTGATATACTGTACATCATTTTCAGGTAAACTGCACAGTCACCTGAGATTTAGCCAGCTGACACTGGATGTCACCATTGTGCCGTGTAATGTCACTGCAGAACAGGTGTGCTATTCAGCATTCAGTACATGACCAGTCTCTTCAAGTGTCTGGAGATATATTAGCATTTCTCCTCCCTCACATAACCTAATTACCCTTGTAGCACTTTTATTGTAAATTACTCTTTCAGTTTCTAATATCAAAGCTCTCTGTCATAGTGACCAAGAATGATGAGACAATTGTCAATATTGTTAGCTCAGAACTGAGGAGGTGAAAACTCAGAAACTGTGCGAAAACAGGGCTCTCGGTCACTAAGCAGAGTCACTGACTCTGGCTAACCTAAGTAGGAAAGGAATTTACTGGAAGTAAATTCAGCTTCCAGAATCGATGGGAAAACTAGGTATGGAAATGGGAGAATCCAGTCTCGGTACCTCAGCAAAGATCAGTCTGTAACAAGAGGGGGATAGACTTCTGGCATTGCCACTGGTCACGAGATACCACGCTGGTGTCCCTGCCGCTGGACGCAATGCACTCTCTGTGCCAGACTCCTTCCTGCCCAGAATAATGACGGGATTTTCACTGCCTCTAGCTTAACAAGCCTGAGGGACAGTCCTTCGCTGGCCTTTCCAGGAGGGAGCGCTCAGTTGGCTGAGTCTAGGAGTTGTTCCTGTGCTCTAGCCCCAGGGAGTGAAGAAGTAAGGGATCTTTCCTGCAAAGACCTGCAGATGGTGACCCTACATACCTGGGAGGGAGATTCAAGCCAGGCGTCCACCACGGTGCTTTTCAATCAGCACCCACAGAAGTGAGTTGAGAATGCTGCCGTGTGGTCAGCTGCCCTTCGCTACTCCTTCCATGGACCTGGACTCAGTTGCATGTGCCCCGTGGCACCTGACAGCATCCTAGACTTTGCTGTCCCTGTCTTTCCTTCAACCCTGAGCGAGCCTTACCAGCCAGGGCTAGACCTGTTTTAAGTGGCCGAGGAGAAAACTCCTTAGGCAAATTGAAAGTCTTAACAAGTTTTGGTCTATTAAAAGAAAAATTCCTGGCCATTAAAAGAAAAAGAAAAAAAAAAAGGTAGGTGACACTGCATACCTTGTTCTTAGAAGATGACTTCAAGCAAGTTGCAGCCTCAGCTCTTGCTCTGCCCCTTGCCTGGCATCCTCTTCTCCCAGACGGCCACCCGGCTTCACCTCCTTTATTCACGTCTTTTGCTTAAATGCCACCTCTTCAGATCGGCCTTCTCTCAGCACCCATCCAAAACAGCACCGCTTTCTATTCTGTTACCCTGCCTCCGCTTTTCTTCATGACACCACCTCTGATTATGTTCCCTATATATTTATTGTTTTGTTTCATGTCTGTTTCCCCCCTGTACTGAAAGTCCCCTGAAAGCAGGGTCTCTGACTCATTTCTGTAGCCATAGCTCCTAACACAGCTGTATTCAATAAATGTTTAATACATGAATGAATGAATCAAGGGTTAAATAAAGGAAAGGAACTCCTTTGTTAAAATCTCTAGACTATAAGTACCACGAACTGAATGGCTTAAACGTAGTACTTTCTTGTCTCACAGTTCAGGAGGCTGAAAGTTCAAAATCAAGGTGTTGGCAGGGTTGGTTTCTTCTGAAAACTGTAAGGAAGAATTTGTTCCAGGCTCTCCTTCACCTTCTGGTGATTTCCTGGAAATTTCTGGCATTCCTTGGTGTGTAGAATCATCGCCTTGATCTCTGCCTTCAACTTTACATGGAGTTTTCCTTGTGTGCAAATTTCCCCTATTTATAAAGACATCAGTCATATTGGATTAGGGTCCACCATACTCCAGAGTAACCTCATCTTAACTAATTACGTCTGCAACAACCGTTTCCATATAAGGTCACATTCTGAGGTACTGGGGGTTAGGGCTTCAACATGTGAGTGGAAGGGGGGACAAAATTCAACCCACAACAGGCACCTTCTTTGTGTTTATTGTATAATGGTTGAGCCATGCTTATGTCATTAATCAGAAAAGTAGGTTTGGTCACATAATCCTCGGTGCCCAGTGCTGTGCTGGTTTACCACATGGATAATAACTCACAATAATGTGTATGAATTGCTTTGTAAATGGTAAACTATTCATTGGATGTTAGTATAATCAGCTGGGGATGTTGACAAATAATTGATGCATTATCAAGAAAGAATCAATACTATGGATTTGCTAGTCTTAAAATCCCCCCAAATGGATTTTCCTTTACAGCCCAGCTCGATCTGCAGACTGTTTAAAGTATTACCGGACTTTTTTCTACCAGTCAGACTGCTTGTCAGCAGTAATTGTGGATAATGGCTTTATGTTTTATTTACTTATTTGACAAACATGTACTAATCATTTATTATGTGCTAAGCACTATTATAAGTGCTTGACAAATGTTAACTCACAAACAACCACATGTTTATTATTTATATTATTATTATTAATAATAATATTATCTGAATTTTACCGATAAAGAAACTGAGGCACAGAGAAGTTAAGGAATTGCTTAAGGTCACACAGCTACGGAGGGGCAGAGTCAAGCCATGAAACTAGGCAGTCTGCCTCCAAACCTTTTAGCTGTAGAACATTCTTTGTTCACAGAAAGTCTCATGGAAAAATTCAGTGTGTGACAGAACAAAGCAGAGCTGCTTTGGTTCAAGTCCAGACGGCAAAGCCCTGTCTGGGCAGCGCCTCCCCTTCCCTGGGGAGCCCTGTTTGAAAAGGCCTGATCTAGGAAATAATACCTCTTGGCTTGATGCCACTTGTAAGCTGTCTTCAATCCACTCTAGCATAAAACAAATAAAATTCTTTTCTCACTTTAATTAACTGATTGTGTTTTATTTTGAAAATTTTATCTGCTTAAACTACTTCTGGCAGAAATAAATGTTAAGATAGATTTTTCCCCAGGACGGTAACACCATATGGCAATTTGGACTTTCCTGGCTTAAGTTCCCCTTCGGTTTCTTTATACAAATGAAGGACTGTGATCGTGAAAGTTTCCTGAACCAAAAGAGAAATGGGATTTGATTTCCTATAAATAGAGTTGCATATAAACTTTGCAACCAGATAGGCATGATCTACCCTCTCTGCTACGGACTGCTTATTTTCTGTGGTTATTCATAATATAAAATAATCGGAGCAAGAATTTTAAGAGTTACTGTCCATTGAGTGCCTTCTGCAACCAGGGATTTAAAAAATTCTTCATGTTTTACAACTCTAGGTGTTATCACCCCTATTTTACAGATATGTAAGTCGGGGCTCAGGTTTTATGTAACTTGTTTAAGTTGGCCCAACCAGTGAGGGGAGGAGGGAGGATGTTTTGAGAAATATCATTGGTTAAGGAGCAGAATTTTTTTTTAATTGAAGCATAGTTAATTTACAATGTTGTGTTAGTTTCAGGTGTACAGAAAAGTGATTTAGTTATACATATAGATATAGATATTCTTTTTCAGATTCTTTTCTGAAAAGAAAAGGTTATTGCAAGATATTGAGTGTAGTTCCTTGCAAGATACAGGTTATTGCAAAGTGTAGTTCCCCCCTGTGCTATACAGTAGGTCCTTGTTGTTTATCTATTTTATATACAGTAGTGTGTATATGTTAATCCCAAACTCCTAATTTATCTCCCCCTACTCTTACCACTATCCCCTAACCATAAGTTTGTTTTCTATGTCTGTGAGTCTATTTCTGTTCCATAAGTAGGTTCATTTGTGGAGCAGAATTTTTTGATATTAAGAATAAAAGTCACATAAGAAAAAATATTTTAGGATGTATAATGTGAGGCCTGATGCAATTTTCAAATTATGGAAGACTGAGAATGCAGTGGGATCCATTCTAAAGAGTGATTAATTCTTATGATGAAATGCCCCTTATCATTCGGTAATGTACACAATTATATAACACACTAAAAAGAAAAGAGAAGGTAAATCAAACAAATGCAACTATAGATCAAGAGCGACTGAACTGAAGAACAAGAAAACAACTCAGACCGAGTCAATTGCTTTGCTTGCCTCTATTTTCCCCCTGCTTTTGCTCCCACCTGCTGCCATACTCTACCCCCCCAGGGGAGGGCAAACTTTTTCTGTAAAGGACCTGTTAGATAGAAAATATTTTAAACATTGTTTGCCATGTATTTTCTGTGTTGAATCTACTCAACTGAGCTGTTATAGTGCAAAAGCAGTATACACAATACGTAAGTGCCCGGCCATGGTTATTTTAGAGTAAAACTTCATCTGTGAACACTAAATTTGAACTTCATATAATTTTCATGTGTCCCGAAATGTTATTCTTTTGATTTTTTTTTTTTTTGAACCATTCAAAGATGTAAGAACCATTCATAAGCTGTCCTAACAGGCTGGAAGCCAGACTGGGCTCCCCGCTGTGGTTTGATGACCACCACTCCAGCCTGACCACCCCTCTCTCATTTCCAAACACATCGTTTCTTGTCTCTGTGGGCATTTCTTTTACTTCCAGCATTGAAATGTTGTTTTGGACTAAGAACTTAATCCCGGAAGAGACTTCAGAGGACCAAGTAACAGAAGTGGTTCCGCTCACATTCTGCAAAAAACAGACATGCAGAGCTGCTACCGCCAAATCAAGTTCCCCTGAAACAAATGGAAGCCACGGTGGCTGTCTAAGAGGATTTAACATAAAATGGAAAATTCTTGGCATACTCTGTCAATTTCATTGAAGATTAAAGGATAAATGCAGGACTTTGAGTCATCCCCAGAAGCTATTTAGTTTTAAAGTGATGCTAGCAAATATGAAAATTCTTTGTGTGTTTTAACAGCATAGGTCATTGCTAAATTTTAATTTTTTTCTCACTAGGGGATCTGACCCTAATGTGATAGAAACACTCTTGATCTTGGTGTCCAAAAGACGAAGGTTTGAGTTTCAGCTCTGTTAGTTTTACTGTGATCTTGGGTAAATTAATAGCACCTACTTGATTCTTGGCTTCCTTATCAGTAAAATGAGATTAATAATCCTACCTCACAGGACTTTTATTTTATTTTTTTAGTCCTTTACTATTTATTATGAAAATTTCAGAGAGAAACAAAATAGTGGAGGACTGTAGGGATCCCATGTGCCCTCACCCAACATCTACAATTCCGTGCATTTTATCAAACTTCTTTCATTTTTACCTCACCCCATTTTTTCCTCTCTTTAAATCCTAGAGTAAAATACTCTCTTTAAAATTTCAAATGTAATATTATCTCACCTGCAAATATTTCAGTATGTATAACTAACAGAGAAGATCTTTCTAAGGAATATCAATTCCATTATCACACCTAAAATTACAATAATTACAAATAATGCTTTGCAAAATTGCAATAATTCTTTAACATCATCCGTTATCCAGTCAGTGGTAAAATTCCCCTACTTGTTTCAAAAATGTCTTTATATAGCTGGTTTATTTGAATCAGGAGCCAAAGAAAATTCATATATTGCATTTGGTCATATGTTTCTTAAGTCTCATAATTTCTGGCAACTTCTCTTCTCCCCATCTTTCTTCATATAATTAATCTGTGGAAAGAATAAATATTTTCCCTGTAAAATTTTACATAATCTGGATTTGGCTGTTTGCAACCTTCACCTTTGTAGAGTCATTGAACAGTTTCCTCTTTCTCAGATGTTTACCGTCAGTAGATAGAGGGGCTGCATACTTCATAGGTGATGCTTTCTACTTGTGATTGTACCACATCTAGAGAACATAGTGTCTGGTTGTCTCCTTTTTAGTTTTCTGTTAAGATTGATTAGTGGGGTCCCTCGAGTTGATGCATTCTTCATCAACCTCTCACCTAATGATTTTAGAGCTGGTTGATGACTGTGGCTTAGATCCATTACTTCAAAAGGGTTGCAAAATGTAGGTTTTCTAATTCTGTCAGTCCTTTTGGGTTTATTAGCAGAAATTCTGTAGCAAAATTTTCCTAATCAACTGTTTGGTTACCAAGAAATACATGGTAAATTCATATCATAAAGGCAAGACCAATGCTTGTTGGTGTCCCCCTCATCCCTTTTTCTGGGCTAATTTTTAGTATAATCGTGGTCCGTCTCCATTGAGTTTGAGGATTGGTGGTGGTGGTGGTGGTTTTTCTCTTGCCAACATAATTTCAGGAATTAAAAAAGTTTTGATATGTTTTAATCCATCACAGTCATTCCTCTTCAAGTTGGTTTTTGTGTCTTATTCAAGTAGTATTTGGTTACTTTTTTGCTTTCTGGTATGACAAGATGTCTCAGGCTCACCTTATATACTTCTTGCTCCAGATCTAAATCACTCAAGAAGCCCTGGTTGCATTTTCATAGAAAATACTGTACTGAGACCATAGTCTGGGCACTGGGAATGTTAATTGCTTCTGTTTCTAAATTTTCAGTGGATAGACTTGGAAGATACATTTTTAAAGGAAAATAAATCATTATTTTCTACTCACGGTTCCAGTTTGGATTGTAAGGTTTTTACGTAACATTTCTGGTTCTAATTTGGATTTCTTTTTCTCTTATGCTAAAAATCTTGGTTCTTAAGACATTAAGACAATGACTTCTTGACTTTATTCTACATCATGCATTTATGTGAGTGAGTCATGTGAATGTGTGCACACACATGTAATAGTTTCAAAATAGCAATATTTCCACTAAAAGTATTATTAGTGAGTACGGTTTAAGATTGTTTTGGGATTCTTTTTGTTCTTAGGACGTATCACATCTGGGAAAAATATTCCCTGGTGCATGTTTTAAAGTCACTTCAAGTAATTCATGAGGATATGCCACCAAGTTTGTATGCAGATATATTCATTTGCTTTATTTGTTTTTTATTTTTGAGGATTTTATTTTTTCTTCTTAATTTAGTTTTATTTTATAACTAACTAAAATAATTACATTTTTCAGTGTCAAAACTGAAAATTACAGATTTTCCCCTTCTATCCTACTCTCTCTTCTTAGAGAAATTATATGTATCCTTTTCTGCACCGTGCTTTTTCACTGAATAAATATATCCTAGAGAAAACTCTATAGAAATAGGTAGTTCATTCAGTCAGTCCTCTTTTTGTGGGCATTTGGGCTTTTCCAAATCTTTTACAAATAGTTCTTGAGTAAATGGCCTTTACAGGCTACTGAGAGTTAAATAAAATGCAGTACATTAGAGGTCTCTGTAAAGTATAAAGTGATATACATACATGTATATGTTTATATATATATATATATATATATATATATATATATATGATTTTGTTATATTATTAGCCCCACAGACTTTTTTCTTTTTTTTTTCTTTTTGGTGTGCGGGCCTCTGTTGTGGCCTCTCCTGTTGCGGAGCACAGGCTCCAGACGCGCAGGCTCAGCGGCCATGGCTCACGGGCCCAGTCGTTCCGCAGCATGTGTGATCTTCGCGGACCGGGGCACGAACCCGTGTCCCTTGTATCGGCAGGCGGACTCTCAACCACTGCGCCACCAGGGAAGCCCTAACCCCACAGACATTTATTAAGCACTTACAGTGTGCTAGAATATGAGTATGAATAAGGCACAGTCTCTACTCTTGAGGTTTTATAGTCTAATTGACACTGAATGAAAAGAAAAATTTCCCATTTTTCATTCTCAGTTTAATTTTTAAGTTTCTAATCAATGACTGTTTCAACTGGTGTCATTTTAATATTAAATTAATTCCTGGATTTTGGATATATACAGATTTCCATAATTTATAATATTTTTTACTATATTTGATTACAGTGCTAATACAGAACTCCTTTCAGTTTATAAACCACATAATTATAACATCAAGGAGCCTAGTTTTGTCCAACTGATTTATGTTTTCCTAAAGCTGGGCTTCACAATGACAGCAGTAACAGCGACCACGACAGTTCCCCTGAAGGGGAAGACAGAAGATAATTCTGCCTCGTATGAGTCCACATCAGCTCACATTATTGAAGAAACCGAATATGTGAAAAAGGTATGTGGGCACTGGAAATCATGTTACCATGGTATGATTTTTTACAATAAACTCTGATATGAATTAGTGGGCTTTGTTTCTCCCTCCCTAGAACATGTGAGGAAGAACAAACCTAGTTTGGCAAAAGACAACCTTGATAGCTGAAATTTAAACACATGCGTTGTCATTTCTCTTTAGGGTATGAACCTCTGTTCCTACACCTGGACTAAAACTGAATAAAGGGCCAGGAGGGTTCAGAACACCTATCAGCACTTAATTTGTCCCACACTATTCACCACTGCATCCTACTGTTTTACATCATTTCTCAGTTCTTTCATAAGTATTGATACTTTGTTGCCAAGTAAGATATTTATGATGCCTGCTGAGTTTCTGTCTCTCCTTACCTTGTTCCTTCTCAAGCAGTTCAGAGCCACTATCGCCAATGACTTGTACATGTTGGCATGCTACTTCATTAAAAATGTGAAATCTTATGAGAATCCAATGATAATGTCTGACAAAGGTATATATTCTCATGAACTACTTTTTAGAATAGATGGAAAAATTTGGACATAGCTAGTTTGTGACTTAGAGCGATTAATTCATCTTTGAGTGTCTTGCAATTCCATAGGTCACCAAGACACGGGGCTTGTATTTCATGCATAAATTTGTATGATATCCTCTGAGTAATTATTCTCTAGTAATTATTAAATAGTAGTTATTCTCTAGTAATTACTAGATAGTAATTATTTTGCAGTAATTATTGTATAGTAATTATTTTGTAGTGATTACCAAATAGTAATTGTTTTATAGTAATTACCAAATAGCAAATTAGTACTAAATTACTATATAGAAAAAAACAGAACTAACTAGTATTAAATACTAATTACTAAATAGTAATTATTTTGTGGTATAATATTCATTTAGGTTATATTTTAGGTTTGCATAAGAAACAGTTGTAAAGACCAAATGCTCATTTTCTGCAATCTAAACAATATTAGCCTAAATGCAAGTTAGGTTGATGGCAGTTATTTAAATCTGAGATTGACATATGTATAATACTTCCTAGATAAATTTGGTACCCTGTAACTGGTATAGAAAAAAAAAAGTATTTGGTATTCAACGCCTTTGAAAAAAATATTTTTCTTTTCTTTTAGATTCGAACTACTTTGGAAAAGATCCGAAATCAAATATTTAAAGATGAAGTAAGACATAATAGTACAAATCACAAACAAGATGCAAAGGTAATGAATTTATCAAAATGTACCACTTTTATTCCTTCAGTAAATGAACATAAATCCATATAGACTTCCTTTAAATAACTTTTTAATATTATTATTCTTTGAATGATGAGTATTAAATATTTTGTTGGTATCTAAAGATGTTAATGGGCATATGTATATTTAAGTACAGATGTCATTAGTAGGATCAGATTGGAATGGCCAGGTCTTACTTGAAAATTTAAACTTGGCTTACTTATCTAAATTGTATGGGAAGATATTGGCCCAGCCGGGATACATGGCAGCAACATGTTCCAATGACAGACAAAGGTACAAGCTTTTAGGTTCACCTGGGCCACACCAATGGACACCCAGTTGAAGCCATTATGCTGCGTGATCAGTCAATAAGCTTAAATGCACCCCTTCCCCTGTGACCAGCCTTTTATTCTTAAGGTCAAACAATGTGCACTTAGCCTTGTCTGGATTATGCCAGCTTAGACCTCACCTGAGCCACATGCACCTCATCAATGTCAGTGTTATCCACTCTGCAGGATGGCCACAGAGAACACTAGAACATAGCATAAGATGTATAAACAGAGTTTCTTTTATCATCCTCAGCTCCTAAACTAACACAACTCACTCCAATTATTTTCTTAAGTGCTCTGAAACTGAAAAAAAGATTAATGTTTGTGAATGATGGGAAAGATCAAACATTCAGTTCTGACTATGTTGAGTTGCCTATCAGAGTGGAGGTTTCTGATGGAAGTTGGATATCTGATTCTAGAGTTGAGGGTAGAAGTCTGGTATAGAAGGTCCAGGCTATGGGGTAGAGATTTTGGGAGTAAGGATGGTATTTAAAGTTCTGAAACTGGAGGACATCACCGAACATATCAGTGTGGATAGAAAGGAGAGAAAATCTAAGCATTTAGTCCTGAGATTTATGATATTTAGACGTTGGGAAGAAGAAGAACCCATCACAGGAGGCTGAGAAGTGAGGCTAGTGAATTAGGGGGATAAACAGGAGAATATGGAGCTACTGAAGACAAGGAAAAAAATGGGTTCCAGAAAGTGAGGAGGGACCGCTGTGTCAAATGGCGTCTGCGGGTTAAGTAAATTGAGGGCTAGTTATCGACCATTGGCTATAACAACGGTGAGGTTGTTGGACACCTTAACAGGGATAGCTTCCTGGGAATGCAGATGAACTGTGTTGCCAGTATGTCTGCCTCGGCCATCTCAAACCACAGAAGGTCAGCCGACAAGTTAGATTAAAAAAAACAAACAGCTGGCTTTGTGGATATCATTTATCTCCTTTAAAGGTCTTAATAGTACATTTTAAACTGTAGGGAATATAAAAGGCATGAAAGATGTACTTCTTTCTTCCTTTTAATATAAGACTCTATTCAAATTTGAGCAAATGTAGAGGCCAGCTGCCTTTCATCTGGAACTTCCCATTGATTTTTGAGATTCAAAAGATTTATTTGTGTTGATCTGAATATCCCTTGACATATGTAATACTGAGTGATAATTATTGTTATCAAAGTTAGTAGAGAAAAGGAAAAGTCAGGTGAATGATTTTCTTGTTTGTTCTTTTCAGCACTGTCGACACGTTCAAAATGGCTTTGACTCTGAAATGGATCCCTCTTGTTGCAGTTTGGATGTCCTCATGGAAAGGATAAAAGGAAAAGACCTAGAGCTCTTAGAAATGAACAAAGAGAATGAAGTGTTGAAAATCAAGGTATGAGCAGTAGGAGAAATTTCTAATTTTGTACTTTGGGCCAATGGGATAGATTTGTAGATCTGTGAAATTAGATAGACATCCACACACATCCATAAATCCACACGTGTGCTCAGATACTTAGAGAAGCACTTTTACAGTTGATCAATTAAATCTCACTGTTTTATTTTGAAGGCGATTTTTATTATTAAAATGATTTTACAAAAGTTCCATGGGTATAGTTTCAGTTGTACAAGACGAATGAGTTCTAGAGATTCACTGTACAGTATTGTGCCTATATTTAATACTGTACTGTACACTTAAAAATCTGTTAATGGGGCAGGTCTCATGTTAAGTGTTTTTACTACAGTAAAATTTAAAAGTCTTTATATATGTAATAATTAGATATTAAAAATTGCATATTAATTAGAGCACTCAGTCAAATGTCTCATTGTTTTATTTAGCTAATCTATTGTTGGGTGCCTTATGTTTTCCTTTTTTGGCTTATTTTATATACAGTCCTACAGTGATTTAGTAGGTAGATCTTTGCAGCCATCCTTGATTATTTCTTTAGGTTAAATCTTTGAAAGATTCATGACACTGTCAATATTGCCCCTAATACTTCAATCTTGTCCTCCTTGTATTTCAGGAAGTATGTCTTTTAGTACTGTTGTGGCCAATGATACGAAAACACTTGCAAATACGTGTATAAGCTGATGGGGCACTGGGGAACACTTTGCAAGGGTGTGGTCTATATATGCAGGGCACTGATGTTCATAGAGCTCGCTTTGGCCTGGCCAGAGCAAATCACCTGCATGACAGCCCCAATGAATAGGGGGTTCTCATTTTATGTTTTCTTCTTACCAGATAACAGCATCTTTCCTCTTACCCATTGTCTATGAAGGTGCAAATGGTACAGTTACAGCCTCTGTATTTCTGGTTGCCCATCAAACTGTTCTGTCTTTAACCCTTTTTATTGTAAAAGTCATAACATGCACAGTGACCTTTTGTTTCTAGCTCGAAGCCTCCAGAGAAGCAGGAGCAGTGGCTCTGAGAAATGTGGCCCAGAGATTATTTGAAAACTATCAAACACAGTCTAAAGAAGTTAGCAAGAAGCATGAGGACAGTAGACACTTACTCCAGGTACCGAGCTAGCAGCTTGCATACTGGTGGACTAACCTCCAAGCTGTTCATGTCTCTCTTTTGGGGAGGAGTTAGATGTGAAACAAGCAATGGCCACGTGACTTGGCAAGACCTTGGAAGGGCAGAGGCTGCCCGTCTTCTGCCCTGATCTCCATCCTGGTACCTGGATATTACGCCCCCCCTTGCCCAGAGCCCTGCCACCCAGCCTAGAAATCAGGGCTGGCCTCATGACACTGGCCAGTAGCTTCTCTTCTGGTTCTGCCTTTGACTAACTAGGTGACCCAGTTTGAATCACTCTGTCTCTCTGACTTGACTCTAAAATGAAAAAGTTGGGCTACATAAATGGTTTCAAAATTCTTTTGGTCCTGGAATACATTCTTCAGAGTAAACGAACAAAAACGTATGTATGTGTACATATATATATATCATATAAAATTATATATTTTATATTTAATATATAAATTAAAATATAAAATCATACAAATATATATGTGTGTGTATATGGGTGTCTCTATATCATAGACACACATCTACACTTTGTTTGTTTTTGAATCTGAAATATGTGTCCTAGGGCCAGTAAAACTTTATCTGGAGAATGTATTCTAGGACTGGAAGAGGGAAACGTGTGTATGTGTGTGTTTGCCAAAACTCAAAACAGGGAAGCTCATTCAGGCACGGGTAGGGCGCCTGGGTCTCTGCCAGCTCAGGCCCTAGGAGGGTTCCCAGGGAAGCACAGTAGGAATCCACTGCATAGGCGACGCACCCTCAAGCTTCAGGTTGGGGTGATGATGGTCACAAACTCCTAGGCACGCAGGGTGCAGATAAAGTACCTACGTGAAAAAGTGAGCAGGTATGTGTGGACGGGAGTGCCCGTGTCCCAGCAAAGGGAGTGTCTTGGCAGG